AGGAGCAGCATTGTGAACTTTTCGAAAGTGTGGTTTTCATAATTTATCGGAAAACTCTCCCACTTATAAACAAGGAAACTAGGTTTATAGCTTCAGTGATGCATAGGCTGTGTACATTTCTGAGTCAGAATGTCTCCAGAGAGCAGGGGAGACGCAGCTTCTGCCATGAACTATTGATTCAAGGGCACACAGTGGTTGCTTTGTGCAAAACCTATACAAGATTAGGAAAAAAACAAAAAAAAAAAAACCAGACAAAAAGGGAATAAAGGAGGAAGAATCTCTCTTGTCTTACATGAACCAAATTGTTTTCCACATAGAAAAAATGTGGACATGAGTACATGATGTTCACCCAATGGCAGAGGTGACTTCCCTGGAGTGAAGAGCCTTTATGAGCAGTGTCACTTCCCTGTCACTATACTTCCTCCATACTGACAAATATAAGGTTTTTTACCAGTGCATGCTTCTGGATGAATCAAAGAGCTCTGAAACTGGGGATACCTCCCCTATTGGGAAGAAAGCAAAGTTTATTGCTCTTCAGATTTCCTGTAGCAATGAAAAATGGCAAGGAAAACAAGCATTTTGCTTTAGATCTGATGAAGAAATGATAGTCCCCTGCCCACAGATGCTACAGAGAGCTTATTTGCAGGTGGATGTTGTCTTTCTGGATTAAGGATATCCACCTGATGGGTTAACTTTAAATGCAGAGATTAGGCATTATCTCAGTGAACTACCAAGCACAGCATTCCCTGGTTGAAAAGGGGAACAAGTAGACAACATGCTGTAAGTGCCCACCCACTCTTCATGATCTCTGGCTGCTTGAATAAGCACGTTCCTAGAAGTAACCACAAATAGCACCTTCATCAAGAAAGGTTGATTGAGTTCCCCTAATAAAGAGGTGCCAACTCTTATGAATCCTTGAATCTTCACAGTGTATCTTTTCCTGAAAAATTAGGCAGAACTAGAAGAGTCTTGGTGTTCTTCCTCCATCTTAAAACACTAAGATAACTGTTACATCAATACTGCAATTAAATGTTGTCTTGCCCCCCAAAAAAATTCAAGAGGACCACATAGGAAAAAATAAACTTTACCTAAAAACCAGTTAGAGAAATAGAAAAGCCTAGAAGGAATCCAGCCCAGTTTGAGCACCATCTGTTACAAGTCTTGAGGCTTCATGGAGAATTTGAGAAGCACCTTAATTCACATAGCATTGAGTGTCCTCATCCATTTACTCTCTACCAATAGGACACTTATGTATCATTTATTCTGGTGTGTGGAATCTTATCTTCTTTGCGTTAATCAATTGTTTGTGTTCCTGTGTTTAAAATCCCACACTGCAAATACTATAAAGGTTAACTTATTTTGCCTTACTTAGGCAAGGACTTCTAGGCAAAATCACACTAGCACTTCTGGAAAGTTTTTGTTGTGTCTCTGGATCAGTGACATGCCATCAGGCAGGTTATGAGGTTCCTGTGTTCAGACCAGTCCTCCACTACTGGTGTTAATGAAGTCTGCCTCTGAATCTGCTCCTAGATGACTTCACTGCCAGCAAAGCTGATTGTTATTCCTTAAACAAGAAACATTAAGATCTACAGTTGGAAATCCTTCCTGCTGAAGTCTCATCCTACTCTTTCCCACTCTGTTTCTCAGCTCTAAGCCAGTGTGTACAGACAAGGACTGTGCCTTGCACCCAGCAGTTACTATATATGAAATACAAAGAGCAAAAGCATATCCAATCCAGTTGAAGAGTCTGGATGCAGACATTTCTCCCTCCTTATATTAGGCAAACCATTTTTTTCAGAGGCTTATAATTTGGCCAAGTTTAGACCCATGCACCAATATTGTGGTGTTTTGGGCCATTTCCCAGTGGTTCAAACCAGAATGGTGCCAGGTTTTGACAGAATATTTTCAAGAATTTAGCACATGCAGAATGGTGCATCTTCAATTGTTTTATCCTAAGAAATAGGTGAACCATTAAAAAATAGAGAACAAACAACCACCCCCAAATCTGGGACAGAGAGATCATCCTGAAAAAACTGGAGCTCTACTAATTAGTTTGGAAAGCAGGAAAAAAAAAAAATCACCTTGTGTCATATTGGAAGGTGCCAGGCAACCTGTATTCAGTTTGATTATTCCATCTGGAAGAACAAAGGGTGAATAGCAAAAAGAAGCCTACGTAATAACCAAAAGAGCTGTGATCTAGAGTATATTCTTGGCTGTAGGATGAAAACATATTTTGTTTTCCTAAACTGCGTTGTACAACTAGAAAGCTAAGGTGCCATGTCTCAAGTATTTGGGGATGTTGTTTGAAGTTAATGTCTTTTGGTTATTAAACTGTACAAGGATTGTAAAGTAAGAAAAAATTCAGAATCTTTCCATACAACATCTCAAGGAGCAGCTTTACACTTATTTCAATGAAATGTCTTGTAGAAGGCTACACTTCAGATTCAGTTCTCTGATCTACCTAATAAGCACTTTTGTGCAAGAACATCCCGAATCTTAATACTCGTATTTCTACCATTCAACATAACACTCAGTGTACCTACGTATTTTTCTTTAGCAGTCTTTGAGGTTTATAAACTTACCTCTATAACCTAGATCTAACCCCATTCTCCTCCACTTCTGCCAGCTCACTGTTCCATTCTTCAGTGAGACTCCTACATGGCTGTCTGGTTGTCTACATACGTGGTCACTGCACCATGAAGAACTTGAAATAAATTCTCAGTGCCCCACAGACTATTTCATATTCCAGTCAGACCACAAAGCATCTGCTTGAAAGTACACAGAAAAACTGTTCCAGCAGAGTGGAATGAAGATGTGCCGTTAGCAGCTCCAGCATCGCACAGCGCCTGGCTCACATCAACACGGCGTTTTCTTCCACCCACTTGCAATCCAGCCTGTAAATGCAACCCACAGCTTGGAGAAGAGAAGGCTCCAGGGAGCTTTCTGGCAGTCTTCCAGTGTCTAAAAGGGGCTTGCAAGAGAGCTGGAGAGGAACCTTTGACAAGAGCCTGTAGTGACAGAACAAGGGGGAATGGCTTCAAACTGAAAGAGGGCAGGTTTAGATTCTAAGGAAGAAATTTTTTCACTGTGAGAGCGGTGAGGCACTGGAATGGGCTGCACAGGATGCTCTGTCTCTGGAAGTGCTCAAGGCCAGGCTTTGAGCAATCCAGTCTAGTGGAAGGCATCCCTGCCCATGGCACAGGGATTGGAGCTAGATGAACTTTAAACACCCCTTTCTGTCTGAATCGTTCTATGAGCCTATGACTCTTAACTCAGTACTTTTTACTTCCAATGTGAGAAGAAAAATGTGTTGGCCATCAGACAACTGAAACCCTAAACAACTGGACTCAAAATCCAGACATATTAACTGACCTCCCTATAAAGAAAAGAAACTTGCAGTTCTAAATGTCTGACCACAATTAGCAAAAAAACCGCAAGTTCTTTCTACAGGTTTTACAGCAAAACAGGAATTATGTTTAAGCCACCTGAGTAGGACACTAGTACATTCAAACAGTCATTGGAAGCTAGAAATTTCTTTCTTAAATGAGAATGATCAAGATGGTGCCTGCCAAAGGAAGAGATGACTACACTGCTATGGGCCAGACAGAGCAATAAGCACAGTTTCCAGCAGTTTCAAAATAATTCTTCCTGTGCTCAGAAAAATAGATGTCGTTTGATGGAGAATAAAGCACAAGGTGAACAGCAAGGACACAATGCTACTGGAGGTAACTTGGGATAGAAGATGTAGTCTAGTGATTCCCTGGTCAAGCAACAAAAATATTGACCAAAGGTTGGTGATCCACTTAGACTGATACCTGTGGAAGACTGATAACAAGATATTATAGCCAATCAAAATATTTTACAGCATAAAAAACTTTCTGCAGTATCTAGAAAGAAAAAAAAAGGGGGGAGAAGTGTGCAGAGGGACAGAGAAAGCATTTGCTAGGAGGGAAAAGTTTAAAGTTTTCTAGCTGTTCAGCTATTTGAAAAGAGCATGTCATACATTGGCAATTTTTTAGCTGTTCAGAACAGCCCAGTGAATTCGTGTTCTCTCTCTCTAGGTATCTTCTTTGGCAAAACAGAAGGATATTACTAAGCTAATGGGACTGGAAGAGCCCATCAGCAAAAGTTTCCTTGGAACTGATCTACAGAATGAATGGGCAAATCAAAAACATGCAATTAGCAGCATGTGCCAGCCTTCTATATGATCCATAGAACTAAAAGCATTTAAGATGTGCCAGCCTCAGGTTTCTTGCTCCTTAGGGCATGCATGACATGAAAACAAGAGATTACCAAGCACCCATCATTACTGAAAATAGGGTATTCTAGTGATACTGGCATGACTAAAATGTAACTGCTGATCAGTGCCAATTAGCTAGAATAATCCTGTTAGCATTAGCTCAACTGTTCATTTATAAATCTCTGCAACACTAATTGTATTTGAAGTTCTTTTAGCACTAACTCCTTTTTTGTGGTGCTGAAAGCCTTCAAAACACTCATCAATTGAACAGCTGATATAACAATCTTTCTTTAACCCTTTGCAGTCTCAGTGCTATAGAAGTAATTCTGCATATTAATTATATCATATATTGAACAAGTTTTTATTTGGTCTTTTTTATATATTGAACATTTCATTATACATTTAAATAAGCACTATTCTCTTGCCATAGCAAGAGCTGTATCTTATAAAATACTGAGTATTACTGATTGCCACTGTGTACCCCACTAAGAAAAGTGAAGAGAAAACCCCTCTCCATTGCTATTGTTCTTTATCAAGCTCATAACTTAGATCACAACATCCATCCATTCATCAAAAATAAATTATATTTGATTTTTACTTATTGCTAATTAATTTGTACCAGAGGAGCATTTTGGCAGGAAATACTTTCCTGAACTGAATACAGTTGGCAATGTTGTTTCCAATTACTGGGCACCCTCATCAGCTCTGGATGAAGTTTTTAATCAAATCAAAATGGACAATACAGAAAATACAAGGAAGATTTCATTAAATAAATTTATTTGTTAAAATAATTTAACTCCAAATACAACTGCTGAGTTTGCATTGAGTTCTATGTACAATTCTTGTTTTATTTGAAACATCAAGGTTTAAACAACTGACATTGTTACAAAACAAACTGTTGCCCCATTTAAAGTTGCCAGTTGTATTAGAGCTCAACAATTAACTGTGAAATACATTAATTCACCCCTAGGAAACTCCAAATCAACAGTGTTAAGTCTGACTCCAGAACCCACTTCAGTCTTTCTTCAAACCCTGATCAAGAATTAACAGATGCACAACAATGCAGATAAAAGCCTCCTGCAGTTGTCAAACATTTGCTTTTGTTGCGGAGTTTCACAATTAAAGCCTAACCAGTGCTTTGATGGCACACTGGTGAAAAAATAAAAAAAAAAAAATTAAAAACAAACATGCACAAAACCCCCCAACCAAATGGCTGACATCTTTAGGTAACATTCTATACAGGAAAGCAAATACCAGTAGTTTTCCCACAGAAAAGTAATGGCAACTGTAGCACTGGGGTTAGGGAGAGGCTAGAATCAGAACAGAAAATGTCACCAAATTTCTTTTCTTGATGCTCTGAAGGGGTGGGCAGGGGGATGGGCACAACAGAAAAAAAATCAAACAAAATCCAATGCAAGTTGTATTTAACACTCTTGATCTGATTCTGGTTTGTTTGCTTTGAATCTCTTTTGTGTGTATTTTCAAGGGAAAGAGGAAACAGTTGCTCTCACTATCATAGCTTAAAAGAATAAAAGTTGCAACTTTTTTTTTTAAAAAACCAACAAAACTGGAGAAATGCTGTCTTTGTAGAAAAGTACAAAGCTCTACAAGAACAGCCAAAGGAAAAAATGGGTCTTTGGAACAAATCATAATATTTTAAGGCATGTTACAAGAAACTTTCAAATACTATAATTGGTAATCCTATCAGGGTACAAATGAAAGAGTGACCCAAGACCAGTGACTCCTGCAGGGTGGCCATACAGCCGCTGTGTGGCTCACCTACTGCCCTTTCTGCTATCCCTATAACTTGAAAAATCTGTTGAGTGCAACTGTCATTGATTCAAGCTCCACTATCTTCACATTAGTGGAAATACAAATAGTGCATAACTACTTCCTCAGAACTATACAATAAAAAACAACACTTACACTTTGCTCCCCCAGCCAAGTTGCATGGTAGCTAACATATGGCCTATGCTTTTGAAAATGTAAGAGTGTAATGAAGAAACAAAACTGGGAGATATTTTCTTTAATATTTCTGTTACAAATTTACTGTGCAATTTTTCCTATATTTAAAGCCCATCTGCTTTATATCATGAACTTCACATTAGGCTGTTTATACTCTACTTCACGCCATTTTCTTGGTTGACGAACAATCTGTCAGGTAAGATTTTTAACATCTCTGTAAATAACCTCGCATAGCATGCACTTCCAACTCAGTTTGAAATTTGGCTTTGGTTTGTTTTTTTGTGGGTTTTCTTTTTTGAGTGCTTACACAGTGGATCTCACACTGGTAAGCTGTTTTGTGGATGGATTGTGCTGCTTGATTAACCATTTCCCAATCTAGATATCTGAAACCCTGAAATATCATTAATCCAACATCTCACATCTTGTTTAAGCATGGCAGCTGACACAATGGGCAGGCAGGGGGTGGTAAGAGAACATTCATACCATCTAGTTTAGGCATGTGAGTTCCGTGACTTGGAGGACTAAAGTTAAAAGCCTAAGTTTGCTATACAGTCCATGGAAAGAGGTAGGTGCCTCTAGGAGGGCGATTCAGAGCACCCAAAATGGGCATTCAGATGCCAGAAATAAACGGTGTGCCTATCTCCCTAAGAGAACAAAGTACAGTAACAAAAGCTCTGCAAAGTAGATGGGAAATGGGCTACATTTACGTTCTAGTAAGGCTTAATGCTCTGTGACATCTAATGCCCTTTGTCACACTGGTTGTGGAAAGGTCTTGAAAGATTAAGGGCAGAGTTGGTCAGTTCTCTTCTGTGAATATGATTTTCTTTAGTTATCATCCAGTGAACTATAATTCAAATGTTAAGGATATTTATGTATGGAAATCTGCAAAGTGTTTCCTACTCCAGTGTCCTTTGTGGCAGATGAGAGCGCTTTTAGGAAGTTCTGCAGATGGAGGCAAAACTCTCGAACCTAACTCCAATTACAGCATTTCTAAGGGCCATATACACACACACATACACACTCAACACACACACACACACAGCCCAGCACCCCTATTTTCACTCATTTAAACACAAGGAACTACACTGTTACTGCACAAGATTTAAAAACTAATAAACGCATGGTGTTATTTAGACCACAGGCTCAGTGACTGTATTTTTATGGCCAATTTTACCTATAAAAGATCCAGCTCAAGACAATCTCTCCAGCATTTAAAGTCTAAACATTGCGATTGAAAACTTTTCTATACTTTGATTGTAAGACTTTGAAATAGGTATTTCTGTGCCATTAGTCATGCAAATGATAAATACTTCACTGCTACGAAACTAGCAAGTCAGAGCTCGAGCATCCTTTCCAAATAAAATATTTGCTCCCACCATTAAACACTCCAATAATTGGGGCAACCTTTGAATAGTGTGTCAGGCAATTAAAGAGCCATTTCCACACTCACCTAAGGAATTACAACTGTAACTATTTCACCTCTGAACCAAATGATTTCACATGGTTATTCAATTTAAGTTTTCAACATTAAAGCTATCAAATAGCAAACTGGATTTTCAAATGTTAGTTTGGGATCACACCAGAGAATGTAGCCCTTAAAGGCAAGAAAAACTGTTGTCTTTAACAAACTTAAAAATGCAGGATGTTCATACTGTCCCACGAGGTTTCTGCAGAAGGGAACATATGGATGAAACATGGCTTAATTTTCCTTACAAGATGGTACTAGTTAATCTATTAAAGTGTTCCTTGTTAGTAAGGCTCAGCAATTTTTTTTCATCACAGTTGCTTCCTCCTGGTTCAGTAAAGTGAAAATAAAGATGCTTCCTGCTTTGTAAACAGAGGGTTTGTTTGGCTTTTTGTAGACCAAAACCTGAAGCGATCCTCCATTTTCGAGCAGCAAAATGAAAGATTTAAAACATTCCAATGCCAGACTGTTTCTTCACCCGTCACTTGTTTCCAGATCTTGCCTCTTGTTTCACACACTGATACAATGTTTTCTGTTTCAAGATGTGGGATAAAGCGTAGAAATAATAGCATTGATTTTGAAAAGAATCCAAACTGTATGGGTCTCTGGTAGCCTTTTCCTCCAACACTGTCAGAAGTCCTGGTGAAATCAACATAACTGACTGAACAAACTCAGCCACATGTGATAGTGTCCATTCTGAAGCGCGGTAATCAGACACCAAAAGACTTGGCTTTCCTTTTCATGCTTATGCTTGTCATGGAAGGTCTTCAGAGATATCATCTCCACTGCTTTCGTCTTCGTTTCCAAAAGGATTCTGTCCTCTTCAGAAATAGTTGCTGTTGTTGCTGTCTGACGTGACAACACACGTACGTTTGACTGGAACGACCCTGTAGATAAACTGACTGTGCCATAAAATTGCAGGTGCTCAAAGGGAAAAAACGGGTGAGATGTGGTCATTTAACCCAATTATATTCAGAGTCAGTGATTGACTTTCAATGCTCAGCTCTGAGTTAATGTTGCTACTTCACTACAGATGTATTTCAAGTGACCCACAAACCAGGAAGTGAAGTAGACAGTTTTACCACCTTACAAAATTTCTTCAAATTAAGTCCAGGTTAGGTCATTTTTAATGCTATTGTATATTACACGCAGAACAGCATGGATCATCTTTGTCTGGCTGTGCTGCATAGTTCATTTGTCTAACAATTTCCGCAAAGAGCTCATCCACCATTGTTTTACTTTTAGCAGAGGTCTCCATAAAGGGGCAGCCCCATTCTTCAGCTAAGGCTCTGCCTTCACTCAATGATACTTCTCTCTCACTTTCCAGGTCCACTTTATTACCAACCAGAATTACTGGCACCTTCTCATACCTACAGTTTAAAACAAAAAAAAAAAAAAAACAACAATAATTAAATTTTTAAAAATGGCAATATTCTTCAAGTAAAAAAAAAAAAAAAAAAAGAAAAAGAAAAAAAATCTATTTGCAAACAGTACAAGCCCTACAAGAAAGAGACATTTGGAAGATCTTAAAATTTTACATTTGAAAAAATGTGTATTTCACATTCTAGCAATTTGTTGCACATCTTGCTCCCCTCAGAGGTTTCAGAGTTCTACAAAAATCTTACTCCTCTGAATTTTCCATTCCCCCAGGAAACACGCCAGGAATACTTTCACACTACAAAAATGAGGAATATAATACTATTTTCTCTGTTTGCAATCTCCACGTGCAAGAACAGGATGGACACCAAATCCTCCCTTCAACATTACACTCTCCTTCTCCCAGAACAGATATTTTGTATCTCCTGCTTGGGGTAATGATGTAACACTCTCCCTTTCAAGAGCACATTTACCTTTGGTCAATATACACAGAACTCTCTGAATAGCAATAAATGAGACAAAACCAAAGGGCCAGTAAATTAATTCCAAATTTCAGGAAATGTAGTCCACTTGAAGTACTGCATACACACATAAGTACTGTTACATAAAAACACAAATTAGATAATACAGAATGTATATCTCTCCCTTGCAGCATTCACATCATGATGCCAGTTAAACAAGTCGAAGAGACAAAAAAAATCACAATTAAGTTCCAGGCAATACTATCACAGTTCTGCTTCATAATCAGCTTGGACAGCACAACAGATCATGTTGCTATGAAGGAATTCTTTACTTTGCACCTCCTTGTGAAAGGATCCTTGCCAAATTTTTTTACAAAATTGAAATGCCTGCTGGTTTTTTTTTCCATCCTCACATTCATAAACCTTTCTTCAGACATGAAACTAAGTGTTTCATCAGGCTTTGAATTTACATATTTGCCACAGAAAAGAAAAGAGAGAAGAAAACACTGGGTCTATTTCCAAAATACTCTTAACACAGGTTTTCTCATGAAAGCAACTAGGACTGAGAGAAAAACCACTCATGACTTTTCAGCATTCAAACCAGACCTAAGAGAAGCAAGATAGTACCTTCTTAACTTAAACCTGATTTTCTCCTTCATATTTTCTTAGTAGTATTGCTTTGAGTCAAATTGCTGGAGTAAGACTGAACTGTGGGCAGACAAAAGACACAGCTGACACCTGCAGCAGCTGAAGATGACACCCTTCTTAAGCCACCTTCTTCATCCCTCCCACCCATGCCCCCTGCCTGCCAGGCAAGGCAGCAGAGCAGTGCTGGTGCATCTGCCTCATCTGGTTGAGGGGAACAGCCTGTTTTCCCTGTCTGTCCCCACTCTGCATGGGAACAGGTACCCTGTGTGCTCCTGCTGCAGGGACGGTGGGCTCCCCCAGGGTCCAAAAGGATGTAAGGCCAATAATGTCTCAAACCACATCAGCAACTCTTACATCACCAGACTAGTATAAAAAATTTGTCCAACTATGTCAAGATGTAGCTGAAAATCTACACTTTGTTATGCCTCTTTGCTTACTAAGAGAATGTCATTTGATCCATAGCCCAGGGCTGTCATCAATAATTGCAGAGAATTCCCCTCACTTCTGCCATTTTTCCTGCTTTGATTTACCAGAAGAAGAGACACAATCCATTTCTTACTCTGTGAACAAGTGTTTAGCACAATGATATCTTTGGAACTCTTGCAAGAACTAAGCTGCCATTAATAAAGTACCAAAATACACACAAGCATCTTGAAATCTGTCCTCCTGCATTTAAACAAGATAGCATAGTCTTTAATTACATAAGATGGATGGCATTCAACAGATAAAGAGTAACACTGAATTGCTGTCTTATCTTTATTGTTCAGATGCATGTGCCCTATTGTATTTGCTATACAGCATTAAAAAATCCTTTAGTGGAAATGGAATCAGGTACCCCCCTTCACTGAATTTCTTGATTTCTGAAGGCCCTGAATTTCCCCTCACTCTCCACTGGCTTGCCCTCTGGTAAAACTGAGAAATCCAAAGCAGGTGCTTGAGAAATGCCCAGTGAAGAAATAGATGAGCCAGATTTAAAACACAAGATCACCTCTCTGAGTTTTGTGACATCACTCTATTGTTGAGAAACATATAAGGAAACACATACACACTTGTTGCAGAATTATAGTCAGTTCCACTAAAAAATTCAAGTGCTTAAAAGGTTTAGGAACCCTGGAAAAACTGGGCAACTAAACATCTGAGTGTCTATATGCTATGAGTACTCAGCACCTGGGAAATGGAGCAGTGGAAAGCCTGATGTTTTGTACTGAAGAACATAAAGAACTGATGAGCTGACAGAAAAGATGTGAAAAGCCTAGTTTAATTTATTTGGCACAGGACCATCAAGGAACTATTAGGTGGAACTGAGAGAAGCAATTTTCTGTATTGCTTTTCCTGTTGCATTTACCCAATTCATTACCTACCTTCACCATCTAAAATGAGATCCTACAGTCAATAGCCTTATTCACCTTATAATTCAGATTCACCAATGACTTTACAATACTGAAATGTGTAAGAAAGTGTTTCTGCAAAGCTCTCAGTATGTCTTCTTAGCAAAAATAAAGTTGCTCTTGCAGAATACATCCCTATACTACCTAGATTTTGAGTAGTTAATTTTACAGAGAAAACACATTTTATATATATACACATTCTGTGTGACACATATTTTAGATTTTTATACTCTACGCCTGTCTATAATAAATACCATTTTTCTTTCTACATCAAAGAGTCAGTGTCTACTACCTAGAAAACAGCAAATAATGGAAAAACAGTCCACAGACACTGAGCAGAAGACTGGCTCTGGTATAAGCTGGACTGAAGTGCTCCAGCTCAGTATCAGTCCTGCCAGACCCAAGCTGAGTGGAGGGAGTCAGACCAGACTTCTGTGTATCATACTCCCCAAGTACCAAGAGGATGATGAACGGTGTGTCTTCATTCAGACTCCTCAGGGCTTTGCACTTTCCAGTTTTGAATTCTGGTAACACATTGTGGAAAATCTAGCTCTTGTCTAAATCAAACTCTACAAGCTCTGAAGTTCAAGCTAGCTCTGCACCCCTTACCTCTCAACACTGCCAGAATTTCCTGCCTCACTTAGTATCCTGAGCAATTGTTTTTCTGATGAGTACAGGCTCAATACTTTCCTTACTACAGCTGCTGATCTCACTGGAGGCAACTTCTGCCTGCATCTGGTCACTCCACTTGATACTCAGAGCTTTGACCAGCCACCACTCAGGTGGTGTGTGGCAACGCAGGCCCACCAAGGGAAGGGCAGTTTCTCAGATCTGGGGTAATTATAAGATCCTAATGAAATTTGAAGGGAAGATAATCTCTTCTTCACAGGCTTTTCACCCCGTTGAATTTCAGTGGCCCAAGAGAAAAATAGGTTCTTTACAAAGGAAAAAACCAAATAAACAAAAAAAAGAGAGCCACTTGCAATGTCCAAGCAGCAACGCAGAATCCTTCCACACAGCCACAAAAATCAAACACAGGAATTCACAAATCCTTCCTCCAGTAGGATCTAACTCGCAAATACTTTTAGCAGAGCAAGAGAGGCTAAAACCCCACCACCTATACTGAAGTTGTGAATCTAGGCTGCTGTTCCCATCACAGGATCTGTGAGAGAACAGCTCAGCCCGCAGCAGGAACTGGGCAGAAGTTTTGCCTTTTGCTGCAGCCCACCTGCCCCTGCCTGTTCCCTGAGCAATGGGAAAGTGGCACAGTTCTGCTCATTTCTGGAGCAGGAAAATCCAATTTTCTCAGTATGGCTGAAAAGCTTTGAGCAGCACTGATCATTCCTAATGAAAAGCACAAAGGCCACCTGAAAATAAGAACTGCTGCTACTTTTGTCAGTATCAAAGCAGCACAGTATGTATTCTGGGGCAAATACAGCAGAGCCTGTAAGAAACACTCTCAAATGTAGCTGGGGAAGGCTTGACTTTTTAAGACCTCTTCAGGAACAAATTTTTGCAAGACCAATTACATGTGTTTGCAGAACATGATTAAAGAACAAGGCACTTCACCCTGTTTAAATCATCTCATTATCTGCAGCTCCAATATGGCCAATACTGAGCAGTGGCGACTCCTGAAGAGGTAACAGGACTGCAGACATTTATAGCCCCATGAAAGACACCAGTACAGAGTCAAATGCCATCATATCTACGGTTTCCACTACTGGCAAGGTACAGTCATTGCCCCATAAAAGACAATCAGAGTGTATTTCCGAGTTCTAGATAAATTCAGTGCTAAAACCCACCCTGTTACCCATCTTTAATAAACACCTGGGACCAATAGCCCACAATAAATCTCAGTTTTCCTGAGGATGGACACCACAGACACACAAAATCAATAAACACACAAACATCAAATGTTTTATGTGGCCCAGTTATACACCACTGACCACACAGCCTTATATGTCACACAGCAATAAATATTTTATATTTTATCTTGCCTCACACAGCACACACATCATCCATATTTCTGTTTAGATTACTATGTACATTTTGAATAACAGCTTAGAACATTTAGAAAGCGTCAAGGTGAATGGTATGAGAATGATCTTCAGAGACTTTTTCCTCACAGCTTTTCCACCGCCAATCACACCCCAAAAAACATGGGCAGTACCTGACTTCTTTTACAAGGTATTTCTCAGATTTCTGGTTAGGACTGTCATTGGATAAAGATAAAAACAAAGATGATGTGCAGTGAAAATATAATAAAAATGAAGACTGAAACAGCAAGAATTTAAAAACAAAACCCCCAAACACACACCAAGGCTAATAAACTGATCTGATTCCTTTAAAGAGTGGTAGAGATTGCCCAGTACCCCTATGCCCTGTGTGCATGTGTGAGTTGCAGTAGTCAGTAGAGAAAAATGTACAAACAGGTTCCTGTTATCTAATTTGACATTCTGGAGGTGGTGTCTCTTTTCTAAGATTTTTTTTCCCTGG